ACCCGAGTACAACCCAATCAATTTTGAGTACTCAGATCCTTCAATAAATTTAATTTGTGGGATAAGCGTGAGGTATCAGTGAAAAAGCTGTAATTCGGAAAATTTTAGAGATAAACCAATGAATAAAAAACAAAATGCTCGCAAAAGAAGCCTCTTTCGTATAGGGTGTGAGCACTTTGTATACCATTACTCAATTAACACACAGGGTGAGTCAAAAATTAAGAATAAATCATGGTTCGAGTTATTCCACCACCATCAAGGAGGCTTTGAAAACATTTTCACCTCTTCATTTTTTTAAAGACAAATGCATTACCTACCAACAAATGAAAAAAAATAAAAATCGGCCTACTATTTTTTTTTCTTTTAAAAGATCAAGTGCGTCACTTTTTTTGGAACTGAGTGTATCTATCTCTCTGCAATCCAGGTTCATATTCCTACGTGGACCCCAGCCAACGAATCCGCACCGTCGAGTACACCGCCGACAAAAACGGCTTCCACCCCTCCCAGAATTTCCGCGCGCCGGACCTGCCTTCAGACACTCCCGTTGTCGCCGCCGCTAAGGCCAACCACCTGCGCCGGTTCGAAGCCATCGCGCACGCGCATCAAGCGGGACCAAATCGGGCGGTCGTGCCGGCCGAGACGAAGGCAGTACAGGGGGCTAGAGAGAGGCATCTCGCGCTGTACGAGAAGATAGCGGAGGAGCATAGGAGGAGGGGCGCAGAGTTGGAGGCTATCCAGAGGGCGGAGGATGCCCAGAAGGCGGAATTAGGGAATGGTTTATACATTTAATACGTCTTTTTTATTCAATATTGTAATAAAATCTAGTAATTTTTCAAAGGCGTTTCTTTGTGTTTTTTTTTCAATTCCGTCAACCTTCTAATCAACACTTTTTCTCAGGTGTTTCATTAATATTGTAAGATTATCGAGTAATTATTCTTAGGCACTCATTTGTGTCTTATTTTTCAAGTGCGTTAAAATTTTGTGATATCAACACTTGTTCTCAGGTGTTTCGTTGATATTGTGAAAATATCTGGTAATTTTTCGGTAGCACTCATTTTTTTTTTGGTGATTTTTCATAAGCTGTTTTTTGGGTTTTATTTTCAGGTAGGTTACCTTTCTAATCAACACTTTTTCTCAGGTGTCTCATTAATATTGTAAGATTATCGAGTGACTTTTTTTGAGCACTCATTTGTGTCTTATTTTGCAAGTGCGTTAAAACTTTGTGATCAACACTTTTTCTCAGGTGTTTTATTAATATTGTAAGATTATCGAGTGACTTTTCTTAAGCACTCATTTGTGTCTTATTTTGCAAGTGCGTTAAAACTTTGTGATCAACACTTTTTCTCAGGTGTTTTATTAATATTGTAAGATTATCGAGTGACTTTTCTTAAGCACTCATTTGTGTCTCATTTTGCAAGTGCGTTAAAACTTTGCGATCAACACTTTTTCTTAGGTGTTCCATTAATATTGTAAGATTATCGTGTGACTTTTCTTAAGCACTCATTTGTGTCTTATTTTGCAAGTGCGTTAAAACTTTGTGATCAAAACTTTTTCTTAGGTGTTTCATTAATATTGTAAGATTATCGTGTGACTTTTCTTAAGCACTCATTTGTGTCTTATTTTGCAAGTGCGTTAAAATTTTGTGATCAACACTTTTTCTTAGGTGTTTCATTATTATTGTAAGATTATCGAGTGACTTTTCTTAAGCACTCATTTGTGTCTTATTTTGCAAGTGCGTTAAAACTTTGTGATCAACACTTTTTCTCAGGTGTTTTTTCAATATTGTCAACCTTCTAATCAACACTTTTCTCAGATGTTTCATTACTATTGTAAGATTATCGAGTGACTTTTCTCAAGCACTCATTTGTGTTTTATTTTGCAAGTGCGTTAAAACTTTGTAATCAACACTTTTTCTCAGGTGTTTCATTAATATTGTAAGATTATCGTGTGACTTTTCTTAAGCACTCATTTGTGTCTTATTTTGCAAGTGCGTTAAAACTTTGTGATCAAAACTTTTTCTTAGGTGTTTCATTAATATTGTAAGATTATCGTGTGACTTTTCTTAAGCACTCATTTGTGTCTTATTTTGCAAGTGCGTTAAAATTTTGTGATCAACACTTTTTCTTAGGTGTTTCATTAATATTGTAAGATTATCGAGTGACTTTTCTTGAGCACTCATTTGTGTCTTATTTCGCGAGTGCGTTAAAACTTTGTGATCAACACTTTTTCTTAGATGTTTCATTAATATTGTAAGATTATCGAGTAATTTTTTTCAAGCAATCATTTGTGTCTTATTTTTCAAGTGCGTTAAATTTTTGTAATATCAACACTTGTTCTCAGGTGTTTCGTTGATATTGTGAAAATATCTGGTAATTGTTCGGAAGCACTCATTTTTTTTTTTGAGTGAAGTAACTTTGCAATCAACACTTTTTTCACGGTGTTTTCATATTAGTGTAAAAAATATGGAGTGATTTTTCATTACCTGTTTTTTGGGTTTTATTTTCAGGTAGGTTACCTTTGTAATCGACACTTTTTCTCAGGTGTCTCATTAATATTGAAAGATGATCCAGTAAGTCTTCTAACGCACTCATTTGTGTATTTTTATTATTCAAGTGCGTTAAGTTTGTAATCAACACATTTCTCAGGTGTTTCGTCAATATTGTAAGAAAATCGAGTAATTGTTCCAAAGCACCTATTTGTGTTTGTGTGTTAATTTTGTAATCAACACTTTTTATCAGATGTTTAATTAATATTGTAAAACAATCGAAATTTTACGAAAACACTCATCTATGTTTTTTCAGGTGAATTAATTCTTTTTCCCAGGAGTTTCATTGGTACGGTGAAAAAATTGAGTGATTTTTCAAAAGCACGCTTTTGGTATTTTTCTCAGGGGTTTCATGGATATTGTGAGAACATTGAGTAATTTTTTCTAAGCACTCATTCTTGTATTTTTTCAAGTGCGTTAACTCTGTTATTAACACTTTTCCTCAGATGTTTCGTTAATATTGTGAAAAAATCGTGTAATTTTCAAAAAGCACCCATTTGTTTTTTCTCAAGTGCGTTGATTTTGTGATTAACACTTTTTCTCAGGTGTTTCATCAATATTGTAAGAATATAGAGTAATTTTTCAGAAGCACTTATTTCTGTTTATTCAAATGAGTTGATTTTGAAATCAACACTTTTTCTCAGGTGTTTCATTAATTTTGTAAGAAAAATCAAGAAATTTCACAAAAGCACTGACTTGTGTTTTTTTCAATATTGTCAACCTTCTAATCAACACTTTTCTCAGATGTTTCATTACTATTGTAAGATTATCGAGTGACTTTTCTTAAGCACTCATTTGTGTTTTATTTTGCAAGTGCGTTAAAACTTTGTGATCAACACTTTTTCTCAGGTGTTTCATTAATAATGTAAGATTATCGAGTGACTTTTCTTAAGCACTCATTTGTGTCTTATTTTGCAAGTGCGTTAAAACTTTGTGATCAACACTTTTTCTTAGGCGTTTCATTAATATTGTAAGATTATCGAGTGACTTTTCTTAAGCACTCATTTGTCTTATTTTGCAAGCGCGTTAATACTTTGTTATCAACACTTTTTCTTAGGTGTTTCATTAATATTGTAAGATTATCGAGTGACTTTTCTTAAGCACTCATTTGTCTTATTTTGCAAGTGCGTTAAAACTTTGTGATCAACACTTTTCCTTAGGTGTTTCATTAATATTGTGAGATTATCGTGTGACTTTTCTTAAGCACTCATTTGTGTCTTATTTTGCAAGTGCGTTAAAACTTTGTGATCAACACTTTTTCTCAGTTGTTTCGTTGATATTGTGAAAATATCTGGTAATTTTTCGGAAGCACTCTTTTTTTTTAAGTGAGTTAACTTCGCAATCATCACTTTTTCTACGGTGTTTTCATATTAGTGTGAAAAATATGGAGTGATTTTTCATAAGCTGTTTTTTGGGTTTTATTTTCAGGTAGGTTACGTTTCTAATCAACACTTTTTCTCATGTGTCTTATTAATATTGTGAGATGATCCAGTAACTCTTCTAAAGAATTCATTTGTGTATTCTCATTTTTCAAGTGCGTTAAGTTTGTGATCAACACTGTTCTCAGGTGTTTCGTCAATATTGTAAGAACATCGAGTAATTTCTCAAAGGCATTTACTTGTGTTTTTTTCAATTCCGTTATAATCAACACTTCTCCTCAGGTATTTCATAAAAGGGCCATTCGTCTCGTGGGTGATGCCTCGCTCACAAACTCACTCACTTTTCTGGAACACCGTAGAAAAGTTGGCGATCTGGCTCTATTTTATAGATATTTTCATGGACGATGCTCTTCTGGAATATCACCGCTTCCACTTCCACTTCTAGGAGATGTGCGTTATGTAGTTCGAGAGCAGATCAGCACCGTACTAGATGATCATGTACTATGTGCAAAGTAGGCCTTTGCCTCAACGACAAAAAAAATGCTTCGAAAAGTTCCATAGCAAAAACTAATCAAGTGGAAACTCCCACAAGAATTTTGAATATGATAATACTTACTGAATTTATGTTTTTGAATAAAACTCAAACTTTTTTGATCGACGTCTTTTATTTGCTTTGTGGTATCGTGGTGACACTACTTGCTAACTCATTAACGAATGAATAAAAACACATAAATCAGTTGAATTGTTGAAAATTTCAACAGAACTTCATGGAATATTGAACGTAATCAATTTTTATTTCATTTTGGGAAATTCTACCTGCAAAGGGTTAAACAAAATTTTGAACTTTTTTCCAACCGAATGTTGAGGTCAGGGCCGGAGCATGGACTGGGTTGCAACTCTCCAAGGCACTTTTTCCTGGTTACTTGGAATTTATTGAATGATAATTATAATAATTCTCTACTTTACTATTATTTTTATCACCATTATGAAAATGTGTCTTAGAACTAAAATTTTATTTTCATATACAGGTTGAGTTGAATCAATTGATTAGGGCACTATATTAGTCAATTCGAATTGAATGTTATCATTTATTGGTACCTACTTATTATACGGTAGATTACAATAAATAAATAAACTGAGTGGGTCTCTTGAATGGGATACCGACTTAGAAGATCGACACCTCCTGTGTAGCAGGCGGTGAGTATAATCAACTGATTGCATGCACTCCAAGAGATAAAAAAATACGAATATTACATTTACACCAGAGTGCACTCTTGCCCGTGACCAGTTGAATCAAATCTGTAGCAGGATTTCTAGATTACATGCTAATGACTTTTCACTTATGTATAATCATCGGTTTACATCACGATGTAGAAAATGCTTCAGTGATATTGAAGAAAATTGGCATTTGTATCTGTCTGTTGTTTCCCCAAACAATTAAATTTGACTTATTCTTTGAATCAGATGAAAAATGGTGGAAGAATAGTTTGCATAAAATAGCAGAGCCAGGACACATCTTCAGATTACTCAGTCTTCCAGAAGTGAGGTGTTTCATGAGTGTCATTAAATGGTTGAGTATCCACATTATTGATCTCCCTGTCAGTAAAATAATTGTCTTCTTGCTTTATTCCCAGCAACGTGTCAGGAGAATCAAATTGTAGTTCATCATAATCAAGTTCTATCTTGCATTCTTTTTTAATAACACCAATGTCTGCTAAAGTGACTGGATCATCGACATACTCATCTTCAGATTTCACGAATCTTTCACTAGTATCGAATTCTTCAATTGATTTATCCTCATTGTGTTTTAATAAATGTCGAGTTAGAACAGATTTTTTACAATATTTTTTGGGACAAATGTTACATTTGTATGGTTTCTCTTTAGTGTGTGTTCGTACATGTACAGTCAACTGCCCTTTTTGGCGGAATTTTGCTTTACAAATATCACATTCAAATGGTTTTTCACCAGTATGCACTAACTGGTGCCGATTCAAATCAATTCTAGAAATGAATGTCTTGGAGCAAATATCACACTTGAAAGGCTTAAGCCCAGAGTGAATTCTTAGGTGTACAGTCAAGCTATTCTTCTTGCCAAATTTTTTATCACACAGTTCACATTCGAATGGTTTTTCGCCAGTGTGCACTCTTAAGTGTGCAGTTAAATCAAATTTGGCATTGAATTTCTTGAAGCAGATATCACATTCAAAAGGTTTTTCTCCAGTGTGGACTCGTAGATGAACAGTCAACTGACCTTTCTGGCTGAATTTATTTTTGCAAAAATGGCATTCAAATGGTTTTTCACCAGTATGTACTCTTTCATGTACCATTAAATCAGTTCTGGAATTGAATTTCATGGAGCAATTATTGCATTCAAATGGTTTCTCACCAGTGTGTGACCTGAAGTGTATAGTTAACTGTCCTTTTTGGCTGAATTTCCCCTTACAAATATGACACTCAAATGGTTTTTCACCAGTGTGCACTCTTTCATGTTTCCTTAAATCAAATCTGTAATTGAATTTCCTCAAGCAAATATTACATTCAAATGGTTTCTCACCAGTGTGGACTCTTAGATGAATGAGCAAGTTATTTCTTTTGATGAACTTCTTATCACAGAAGTCACACTTGAATGAGTTGTCATCAGAATGCACTCTTAGGTGAACAGTTAAATTAAATTTAGAATCAAATTTTACTGAGCAAATATTACATTCAAATGGTTTTTCACCAGTGTGGGATCTTGAGTGTACAGTTAACTGACCTTTTTGGCTGAATCTTTCATTACAAATATCACATTCAAAAGACTTTTCTCCAATATCCATTATGGAACATACACAAATATTGATATCTTTTAGTGAAATAGAACATTAATTATATAACAAACCAGGCAGATATGAAACTCCTAAGCTCAGATGTTAGTACAAATTTCTAAGCAACCTTAAAAAAACGTACAGCATGTAATATTGGAACAAAAGTATGAAATATTACAAAATATTGGACAAATAGACAATTTGAACTATCAACTACTTACATGAAAATACTACCTGAATTAATAATTTAAATGGAAACTCATTCATAATTTCTTTCAACAACTAGAATTCCTAATGGTATTTAAAGGTTAAAGCCCTTGAAACAGCTTTTTTGAAAATTTGAATCCTCAATATTTTACTCCTTTGTAGTTAACTCACTATTGCTAACAATTCGAATGCATTACTTCAAGCAATTGCCAAGGTCATCGTCCATTTCACTCTTCTAATATAATCTTTGATCATCAGTCATGGGTCCAAGATGATGCAAACTTATGATCAATTTTATTCTCCCTTGGCTATGTCCATACAGAGGTCAATACTCTGAATTTCTATACATTCCTATATTTTTTATGGCGATGCTTCTGAATAAGAGTCAGTTGTTGCTACCTGGAAATATGAGAATGAAATGGATCAGTTATAAGGAAAATTTTCTCAAAAGCGAAGAGTGCCCTGATATACAGCACACCGAGAGCGCCTGATGGGGCATGATGGGCCGAAACAGTAATAATAAAAAATACACTCATACGATCAGTTGAGTTTCTGCTCAAACAAATCATTCTATGAAAAGACAATAATGATACAAAATTAATGATTGTCTTAAAATAGAAAAATGGGGTCACTAGTGCTCACATAAAAAACAAGGAGAGCCGTTTATCAATACCATTTGCAGTCAAGATAAAGCATTTAAGTACAGAACTATGGGATTCTTGCGGTGATCGTTGAGAGGTGCACATCGTTGACCTGTTCCTAGCTTGATCCTAACCTAAGAAAAGTAGATATTAACAAGTAAGTGTATAGTAGTTGCCTAGGTTGTCTGATCTTTTTTAGATAAGCTTTGGAAGATAATTAACGTTATGTAACATCTTCACATTTTCGATTCTCTATAACTTGAGATATTAACAATTATTACCTGGTGAATGAACTTAGTAGTTCCTAACATGGTGGATAACTCCCCCGAGAAACCGGGGGGAGGTGATTTAACTTTGGATCATGACGCAAAGATTTTCAAAGACCTGATAGAGAGATCTCCATATACGATGGAGGCAGTAAATAACTTATTTATTTTTGCAAATAACTGTCATTATAACCCACAAAAATGTAATGAATTGATTTCAAGTATTAGTATTAAACAGGATTTCGTACAGGAATGTGGGGAAATCTTGAAAGATGGATATTTTCTGAATAATGAAAGTGATCTGAAGGTCAAATTGCCTCCGAGAGTTAACATTCTTGCAGATCTAGCTCGAGATCTAGTTATGAAAAAAGCAAACAATGAAGCAGAAAAAAGACATATCGACAAAAAAGATGACAATACCATGATAAAGAAATCTAAATTGAGTGATAAGGAACAAAATGAAAATGGAAATATGGATATTATGAATGATTTGCGGGACTCTGATAACATTCTGAATGTATCTTCTCAAAATATAGATATTATGAAATTTGAATACTTGGACCATGGGCCATATAGTATATACTTAGAATCTACAGATGGAAATGTTGGATATCTCCCAAACTTGGCAGTTGGAAAAAATTTTCATCAAAACTCTACATATAATCCAAATTCGATTGAAAGAAGGGGGGAAAATAGATAGATGGTTACTTTCAAAAAAATTGAGGAAGCTAATAAATTACTCGAAGATGAAGACTACTATTGATAATAGAAGAATCATTCACGTGAGAAGATTGAAAAAGAAAGTGAGAAACAATGGAGAAATTGAATATAAAGATGTCCCAAATATTTTAGTTACATTTCGAGGAAAGTTTATACCAAATATGGTATTTATGTACTCTTGCAGTTTTGAAACCCTGAATTATTATGCACCTGTCATGCAGTGCCACAACTACCTATGGTCATACAAAAGCGCAATGTAAGGGTAAAATCAGATGCCCTAAATGTGCAGTGAACCATGCTTTGGATAGTTGTGACAATCTACATCCATCTTGTCTGTTCTGTGGTGAAGAACATTTAACAAACGAACCTTATAAACCTTTCAAAAACAGACAATGTCCGGAATTTCATAGACAGAAGAGAATCAAAGAGCTTATAGGGGAAAGGCATATATCCTCCTTCGAAGCATCGAAATTGGTTCCCAACATTTTGAATAGAATCGGATCATAATTAAAAAACTCGTCTGCCTTATTGGATCCGCCATCTTGAGTTTCCAAATTGAAAAATAGTTTACGATCGATTATCAGACCTACCAAAAATCCACAAAAATTTTCATAAGAATCGGTCAAGCCGTTTCGGAGGAGTTTGGCCACAAACACTGTGACGGAGAATTAATATGTTAGATATAAACTATCGTATGACTTTCATTCAATGGTGAGGTCAAAGATTACAGAATGGGAATAATAGGTGGTAAATATAATAATAATAATGTGAAATATATCATTCCACTTTTCAATTACTACTACTACAACTAATTTGGCGACGTACTCTGATAAAATACTGGCAACACTGTAGGTGACTTTGTACCTGTTCCCTTAGTACAGCCACAAATATTATTCAGCGACATCTGTTGATGAGGTTCCCTATAGATTGAATTAAATGTATCTAAAGGATTCTGTGGAAATAATACATGAAACTATAATTATGGCGCCACTAGACGGCTGTGATATATTTATAGTTTCGCTGGTGTCTGTGGGCGAACTATTTCACTGTGATGCGCGCCCTTAACAATAGTGGACATGGAAATAACGTAAATCAGCATAACTTCAATGTGAATAACTTTCCACACTTACCAAGCACTAATGCAATCTTGGCGCAAACACAAAATAACCTTACCCCACGTGTTCATACCCCTCGGGGATATAACAAAGCTACAAAAAGTAACAACTACACTATCGTAAAGTCAAAACAATATAGTAATACCCACGATAATAGAAATGCCAAAAGAGGGTATGGATGTGAACTTAGGGAACTATTAATACATCCTGATGACCAAGTCAAAGTCAATCCAACAAGAATACCATCAATCATTCCACTCCCTGGCCTCTGGCTCTGATCCAGTTATGAGCCCAAAAGAATATAAACAGAAAATTAGAGATGACATCAGTGATATCTACTTCAAACACCCAACAACTTTTCTTGAATTAATTAAGGAATTTATTCCACCACATAGTTCTACATCATCACCGCTTTTTGAATTAATTGAGGAGACTGGAGAATGTTAGAATTAAAATTAATAAATTGGAATATTCGAAGCTATAATGCCAACAAAGCAAACCTATTAGACTTAATAGATAATATCAGATCAGATATTGTTTGTTTATCCGAAATTTGGTTAAATCCAAATTATAACATGTCAATAAAAGGATTCAAATCAATTTCACATCACAGATAGGATGGAAAGTGAGGGACATGTATATTGATAAAGGAAACGATTAAATTTGAAAACATAGACATTGACTTTCAAATTCCAAACAGGGTAAATATAGTGGAAGTGAAAGTAGGGGATACGGAGATATTCTCTATATATATCCTTCCGGATAAAACAGTAGTAGATGACATTTTTTGGAGAAACTGTATAAAAAATTTTATCCTAAGTGGAGATTTCAATTGCCACCACACAAACTGGGGGAATTCAAATAATAATGGAGGGGGAAATGTATTGAATAGTTTAGTTGATGACGGATACATGACCATAATAAGTGATTTTCAACCCACTATCATTCCTCTTCAATTAAAAAGTGTTATTGATTTGATTGTAACATCCCTAAATTTGTACAATGGAGTAGAAGTTAAAACATTAGAGGAGACTTCCCAGCCAACCATCGTGTGACATCAACATCTGTGTGATGTAACAACCTTTGCATAAATGCAATATCTCGTTAACACATCTTATCGACGTAGATTCGATATCAACGTCGCAAGGTGTCATCGCAACCAGGAAACTATGTAATGTGGCAGCGACTTCTTCAAACTACATCTCTTCGACGTTAACTAAATAATTCACATTGATATCCTCATGAGATATCTTTGTGACCTGTGAGTGTGATGCAGACATGAGCAAAACGAACGCACACGCCAGACGCCTTGTTGAGCTGTGCATGGCCATGTCAGTCAGTCAGTCAGTGAGTGAGTGAGTAAGTCCGACTCCGTACAAACTATTTCCTTCCAAATTCTCTGTTGAAATATCTCAGATAATTTATAGCACATATTATAGCAGTTTCAAATTGGAGGTATACAATCATTTAGGAACGACGGTGAGTTCAATCACAATAGGTAATATTGTAATTATCTCTGAGATAGGAATATTGCAATCTAAAACAAGGTGGATGAAAGATCCAAAGATAATGCAAGTACATTTGATATGAATCATTTATGAATAATGTATATTTGTATTGCTATATATATGTGTCATGTTTTACTTCAAGATTACTAATTAGGGTGATTGTCATGATAAGTTTTGTATCATCTGTTTTTACTTTCGGAAAATAAACATTTTCTTCGTAGAGTTGAACAAATATTATTATTATTTATATCCCACGAATATAACAGGTACGGCGACCACATCATCGATGTCGCAGTGTGATGTATTTGTAATATGAAATGTACACTTGTATGTGACCTGGTAGTGATTTTTCATGTGATGTCGCATTTCATGTCTGAACGACGTCACAGTGATGTTGCTTGAGTCGGACATTTTCAGATCGCCACGTTGTATCGGTAACATGTTTGTGACTTCAAATGCGATATCGCATGTCACAAAGTGATGTGGCGTATACATCACTTATACATCTCATGGTTGGCTGGGTTACGGGTCCGACCATTTTCCTATTGAAGCCAGTATACAATTTAACAATCATGTTACTACTGACATGGACATAGGATAATAATGAGACAATTTTCAATCATAAAAAAATTGAATGGAACAAGTATTACCAATGTATTGAAATGTCCACCATTAACTCATACAATGACCACATAACGGCAATTAATCTTGGAATAACTGTAGCTGCCCCAAAAATAAACATGAATAATAATAGATATACAAATTTAATGAAGCCCCCATGGTGGGATCAGGAATGTTTAGAAATTGTTAAAAAAAGAAAGGAAAAATTTGAAGCATATAAGGAGTCATCTAATAAAGAAAACTTTATAGATCTGAAAAAAGAGAAAGCTAAATCTAGAAGAATGCTGAAGAAAAAGAAAAATGAATCTTTCGAGAAATTTACTGAAACTTTATCCAGAGAGAGCAATATATCGACAGTTTGGAGTAATATCAAACGGTTTTCTAGGCCATTCTATTTTCTAGGAAATCAGTTTGCAGAAAACAGAGATGATGGAAAATTTAATGATAATAAGTTTTGTCAACCAGATGTACAGAGTCAACCGATAAAAATCAACCGGATAGATGATAAAATAGGCATGAATTATACGT